ATTATTATTTATGGCAAAATTTATAGGTTAATCATAAGTATAAGCATCATAAGCATAATGTCGGTCAGGGGCCTACATCACAAAAACAAGTAAGCAGGAGGATTGCCTTGTACTTTTGAGTTTAACTGTTTCTCAGAGGCTCAAGCAGGATGGAGTAGGCATCTAATAGGTGGTATAGGATCTGGACCCTACTGTTTATAGAATGCCTTTTCTTTGAGAGTGTGCTGTTAACTTTTAAAATGACAATTCTCAAAAAGACAATTATTCTAGTTTCCCGCTTTATAGTTACTGATAACAGCAACAGAAATGAACTCATCATCAGGCATTGCCTGCCAGACATCAGAACCCCAGTTCAGCAGTTATCTGCATTCACTAAACTAGTTAAGCAGACTAGTCTAATCTCCTGCTTAACTTCAGTGAGATTTAAGCACATGCTGTGCTAAATACACATGGACTTGAACCCATATATAAATGCCTTCTGTGCGGGCCGCCTCCCGATCTTGTCCATGTCGCCATGTGCGAGCCGGGAGCGATATGTGGACCCATTTTTGCACACGCGGGCTGTGGCCAGCAGCCCGGGCACGCGGGGTCGAAGAAGACCAGTGGCGAGCTAGAATTAGTTACGGACGCGTAATGGTTGATTAAAAGATTGTTTACTTACACCTAAGATGGTCGTGGTGTAGGCTGGACAGTTTTCCAGGCTCAGCTCCGCTTAAATCCTCGCTAGAGGACTCCAACAATTGACCCCGGAGTGGTTGAAGCTCCGCGGGTTCAGCTCAGTAATTGGCCCCGGAGTGGTTGAAGCTCCGTGGGTTCAGTAGTTTCAAAGGAAAGGGATACGTCTTAGGATTGCACTCAGCGACGGGGAGAGGCTAGAGGTCGTTTGGCCCCCGGAGTGGTTGAAGCTCCGTGGGTTCGGTAAATAGGCCCCTGGAGTTGTTAAGACTCCGTGGGTTTGGTAAATCAGCCCTCTATTGCCCTCTTAAGGAGAAGAAAAAGCTGGGTTCGAAGGGATTAGCAGCGCTTAGAAATCTTCACGCTCTTTCTCCCAAACTCCAATTGCTTTCTCTCTCTCTCTCTCCATCTTGGGCGGAAACCACCCAAGCTCTTTATACGGCTAGCAAGCCAATTGCTAGCTGCCACGTGTGCCTATATTAAGATCGGCCAATAATGTGGCGCAAATCTTAATACAAATGGCGGGAACTCCTTTGCACCGTGCATCACTATGATGCAAAAGAAATGCACC